GACAAATTGATATAAATCGGGTACATATTAGTTTAAAATCAGGCAGATACCCGATTTATTGTATTTTGACTAGTGTTATATAAATGCAAACATGAAAAAATCGAGTTTTGTGAACGATCTCTTATATTCAACGGAAAATTTCAGCTGTTTTAGAATGGTGTTTTGTTTCATTTGGATTGTCACGTAAGCCTTTCAACCAGGAGCATGTTCACATGAAAATGTGAATTAATTATTTCTGATATTATTCCAACAAATGATTTTGAATGATCAAACTTATGATAAGATTGGTAAACTTTGTGAAACAATAAAAGATTACAGCTACTTTTATGTACAACGTCTTACTTTGGGAGGATTTATAGAAAGAACTGAATAATATTAAAAATTCAGGTGTGCACCTAAATACTTAATAATAAAATTATTCTTTTAATTAGTGTTGCCGAATACCGAATTATGGTGTTAATGGTATTAATGCCGAATCAAATGCCTATAGCAAAAAAAATACGTGTAGTTCTTCTGTTGCTGATATAAAAATCACTGAAAAAATTCTTGGCAGTGCTAATTATTCTCAGGACAATAAAAATCCTTGGATAAAATCTCTAGAAAATGAGGAAAATTGGAAGATAATTGGTTATGATAAAATCTTTCTGCTATTTAAATTATTAGGTAAACTGTTGCAGGAAAAGATTTAAGTGCTTTAAATCATCAGATTTTAAAAGGTAAAGGGTTAATCTTATAAAAATCTTTTGTATATTAATCAAAAATTTTTGACTTTTTTTCTATGAAATAATAGCAAAAATTGAATATTTCGATATAAACATCAAAAAACCTCACATTATTGACTTGTCTTCACATCTAAGAGGAATCAGAAATATAAATTTTAACGAATATAACATTCTAGCATCAATTATGAGCGAAAAGATAATACGGAATACAATGATCCGAATGTATTTTCGTTTTATATAGATTATGTGAATAAAGATAAAAACTTCTAGTAATTGTTGTTAACCTTATAAGAAGAAACATTTCAAGCATACTAAACCAACTAATCCACTAAACTTATTTAGAAAGGAAGTAAGTAAATATTTAGTTAAACTCGGGTGGATTATCGTTGGACTACCAACATGTTTCAATTTTGATTCGTTGTTAGTTAGTATTTAAGAACAGAATTTATTTAGATTCTGAAATAAAAAACTGTTTAGTAAAAATTCCTGGCTATGAAAGTCATATGTTCAGTACTTGTGCATTAAAAGCAACAAAATGCCCTTCTTGTATTGAACCAAGCACCACAAACAATAATTCAGATTTAGAAGAGATTATTCATAATCAATATAATTCTAATTATCATCCAGGCACATCAACGATTGCCGTTGGTGCTTATTTTCAAAAGTCAGCATGGTTATTTATTTGCTTATAATCTTAAAGATAACAAAATCACAAAAGACAAAACAATCTTAAAAAGATTGGCTTTACATACTTGGCAAGTAAAATAACAATTACTTTATATTATTTGCGATAATTCTAGTTTTATTGAATTTGGACAATCAAAAATCTTTGGACAATGAAAATATACAACACTGTTGTTATAGACCGGTTGAAATAGGCTTGTCAAAAAGCCATGGTATTCATGGATAACACAATATCACAAAGCACCAAGCGATTTTTCACTATAACTGATATGTATAATATACTCATTTCTAACTCTCTTTAGATAATTCAAGCGCCTATTATACAATAAATGTTTTGTAAATTTTGTAAATTTCTGTTTTTGGTTATTTTTTTTATACGCATAATCTTAAATGATTTTCAACATTTATTTGTATATTCATCTTTTATTAGTTTTGTCATCTTTTACCGTTTCATCAGTTTCATCACCTTTCATCAGTTTCATCATTTAAAATTTTAATTGACACTAGGTTTCGTGCTTCGTCAGCGCGAAACCTCGAGATTTCGTCTAACAACTTTACCACAAGTTGAATGAAGGCAAATCAGGCTCCAACCGGCATAATGTAATCCCGATATGAACCTTATTTGAAACAGAAATTTGGCGGAAATAGGATACTAATCGGGTTCATATAGGCGTTCAATACATATCGGGATGCCGATATATATTGAACGCCTATATGAACTTCATGTACTCATAGGGAGACATTCATATGATTGGTTAATTTTGTAGATCTACCCGTGATTGCCTAACCAATCAAAATACATAGCTTTATTAATACTGCAATACGCGTAAAATTGGTAAACATGATATTTATTACTAATAAACCCAAACTCATTAAAGAATCTACGTACAAGACATAAACTACAACTATTAATATATGGATGACAATTAGGGTTGGATCGGTTCTGTGAAGACCAGTTAAGGACCGGTCTTTTTAACCGGTTATATGGGATCTTTGCTATTAATATTAAAACACTATTAAAACCCTCCGAGCCTATGTGAATAAAAATTAAATTTGCCAGGTATCTAGTTATCCAATTTGAATGAAACTTTTTTTTCATTCGTAGATTCTATTGAGATTTACAAAATAAAAAAAAGTTTATTCAAATTGGATTACTAGATAGCTG